CATAGGATTGGGAAGTATGGTTTTCATCGAGAACGTCCACTTTGCAACCGCAACCAGAACGGCCAACTTCACAACCATAACGGACCACTTTACAACCAGAACGGGCCACTTTACAACCAGAACGGACCACTTTACAACCAGCTCAGCGTGGCCGTGCGTGTTTGGGCGTTCCGCAAAGTGCCCCAGAGCGAGTGGGCGCTCTGAAAAATGCTCCAGAGCCAGAGCAAGTGGGCGCTCGCAAAAGTGCTCCAGGGCGCGCGGACGCTCTGAAAGGTGCTCCAGAGCACGCGGGCGCTCTGGGGCCCGAGCGCCTGAACGCTCTGCGCAGGCCCCAGCGATGCCTCTGAGCCCGAGCGCCTGAACGCTCTGCGCAGGCCCCAGCGACGCCTCTGAGCCCGAGGACCTGGGCGCTCTGCGCAGGCCCCAGCGACGCCTCTGAGCCCGAGCGCCTGAACGCTCTGCGCAGGCCCCAGCGACGCCTCTGAGCCCGAGGACCTAGACGCTCCGAGCAGGCCCCAGCGATGCCTCTGAGCCCGAGCGCCTGAAAGCTCTGGCGCTCTGAGCCCGGCAGACTAAAGACAGGGTTTGCTAACGGGGGCCAAGCGGCCTCAACAAGGGCCCGGTGCTCGCACGGGAATAAGGCGACAGCATGCGTAGGAAGACTCGGGGCGACGCGCTGCCCATTTTAGAGATCACTCACAGGAAGCGAGCCCAATGGCCTCCACAAGGGCCCAGCCTTCCAGGGAACTAGGCCATTGGCACCGCGGGTCTCTTGGGCCACGTTGGCCCCTGAAGCCCCACGGTGTTCTGCAAGGGGCTGAGTGCTCCAGCTCCAGTTGGCCCCCTGCTGCTCCTCTTCTTGGAAGATCGAGGTTCAACGTTCCGAATGCATGGAACTATTTCGAGGATCGTTCCTTCCAGCGTCAGCCACAGTGCCAGCGCAGCAACGCAGGTATCCTGCTCGGGCAGCAGCCTCAGCCACCGTGCCAGCGCAGCAGCTTGAGCCACCGTGACAGCGCAGCACCGCCACCTTTGTGCCAGCGCAACAGCGTCAGCCGTGTGCCAGCGGAGCCGCGTCGAAGGGAGGAGGAGGAGGAGGAATTGGTAAACAGAGGACGTGGAGGAAGATGGGAAGGAGGAATATGTCTCTTTCCTTTGGTCTCACGCGAGGTTCCGCACTTTCCGCGTTCCGGGTTGGAACTCGACGGCTGCGGTTTCGGCGAGGTCGGTTTCCATTCCCGCTGGGCGCGTTCTCCTTTGACGTGCCTTACTCCCATGTCTGCCTACTGGGGCGTGTCCACCTCCGCGGTCACCGCCGCGTTCAAGACAATGGCCGGGGTCTTCACCAACGGCCTCGTATTGAACCCCTTTTTCGACTGCAGTTTCCACTGCAACCCTGCTACCACCACACTTACCACTGCAGCCCCGCTACCTCCACAATTCTGACTGACCCCCCGCTACCACCACAGACCCCATTGCAGCCCAGCTACCACCACAGTTCCCACCGCTGCCTGGCGACCACCACAGTTGCCACCGCAGCTTCCCAACACCATTCAGTTCCCATTGTAGCCCCCGCTACCACCACATCTCCCACCACAGCTTCCCACCGCCATGCAGCTCCAGTCTTGGACAGGATCATGGTTTATTCGTATGTCCTGCGCGAGTAGCCTTCATCCGTCAGAAAAAGGCAGAGCAAGCAATGGCATAACTGACCGACAGAGCTGAGAGAGCAGGTCAAAACCATAATCCGCCCACCAGCACGCAACATACCATAGCGCACCAGGTCGTCGCATCACCAACGCGTGCGCAGTGCTTCTTCGTGCGCGATGGTCAACACTACAACCAACATGCCTGAAAGAGCCCAAATCCACCCTTGCGCTTGCCCACGGAGATTTCAGGGAAAGGCCCGCGTGCATTCAATATGTGTTTCCACTCGCCTGGTTGTAAAGTGCCCTTCCTGGTTGTAAAGTACCCTTCTCGGATGTTGTAAGCTGGTTGTAAAGTGACCCATCTGGTTGTAAAGTGCGTTTCTTGTTGTAACGTGACCCACGCGCCCCCAGGAGGCCCCCAAGAAGGCCCCACAAGGCCCCCCAAACGGCCCCCAAATCGGTCACGCAAGGAAGACTTCGCGTGACCGCTCTGGGGGTCCTCTTGGGGCCGTCTCGGGGTCCACGTGGAGCTGTCTCGGGACCCCTTCTGGGCCCTTCCCAAGGGCCCTGAGGTGGCTCCAAGAGGGCCCCAAGACCGGCCCGAGAGGACCCCAAAAGCGGTCACGCCAAGCCTCCCTTGCGTGACCCATGTTGAAGCCCTCTTGGGACCCTCTTGGAGCTGTCTTGGGCCACTCTTGGAGCCGTTCTGGGGCCCCTTTAAGCCCTTCCTACAGCCCTCAGACGGCCCCGAGACGGTCCCAAGAGGGCCCCAACAGCGGTCGCTGACGGGACCGAACGACCCACCCACGCCGCGACCCACCCGCAACCCACCCGCGACCCACTTGCGACCCATCGACGCCGCAAACCTCCCGAGACCCACCCGCGCCGCGACCCGCCCGCGCCTCGACCCGCCCGCGCCGCGACCAAACCTGGCGGGACGACGACAACAAAAACAACAACAAGCAAAATCTTCACCGTAGATCCGCACAGTTCAGCCACGCACCCAGGGACTCTGTAAGACCGCCCGGCCCGCTCACTCTGATTTTAATGCACGACGCTGTGAAGAAATCCCCCACGGACAAGACCGCCCGTGCCCTCATGCACGAAAGAACGCTCGCTAAACGAGATCCTACAGTGTAGCTCCGCGCCCGCGGCCGACGCAAAGACAACGTCGGCGAGTCTCTGGGCCTACCGCAGGGCACCTGTTGGTTTCCATGACAACGCCTGCGAAGTTGCCGTACTCCCCCGGCCAAACGCACCACATACATACTCGATGCTTCGCGATGTTCGGACGATGGCGGACGATGTGAATAGGCGGCCCCTTTCAAGAATGCGTTCTTACCCGGAGCCCGAACTGACACGCCTCTAGAAAACACAAGGCCAGCATCTGGAGCAAAGGTTCTAGCATCATGTACGTCCGGGACGACGCCTGCACGCCGCTTCAACGCAGAGTCGCTGAGCTGAACGTAAGGCGCGAGGTCATTCCTGGCGCCCCTGAAGCCGGAACGAGTTGGCTACCCTGCAGTGCTGGCATCTGATATCACACACATGTTTCGCCCTCTACGAGCTATCCGGGGTGTAGGTCGGGCATGTCCTCCTAGAGGCAGATGTTGGAGAAAACATAAAAAGTATCCACATGAAAATATTCAACAGTAGTAGAACAAGTAATCGAAAAATCGTCCCCAGACTATGTCTCAGTATCTTTGAATACTCCTCCTGTGGAGGGACACGCCCGACTTCAAAAACAAAGGCCTCGTGACTTACTCAGCGCCCCTTCTTGCAGCAGCCCGGAGGCACACCCCCTCCTCCCCCTGTGCAGGACCAGGCGCCAGGCGGCCCCCCTCGGGCACGCCGCCGTCGCTTTCGCCGTTGCCGTGCAGGCCGCTGCAGTCGTCGTCGTCGCCGTCGCCGTCGTCGTCGTCGTCCTCCTCGCTGCCGTCGCCGTCGCCGTCGCCATCGCCGTCGCCGGCGCCGTCGTCGTCGCAGTCGCCGTCGCCGCCGTCGTCGCCGTCGTCGTCACCGTCGTCGTGGGACTCGGAGAGGGGGCTGTAACTTCTGGGGCCTCCGAGGCCAGAGGCGGTCAAGCTGGGCCAAGCCACTCGACCCAAGCATGCTCGCGCCGTGAACAAAGTCGGGACGGGAGGCTGCTCGCCGTCGATCGGCCTCTGGGGCGCATTGAGAAAATCAGGGCGTCGCATGTCTGGGGCCGGTGTCCGTCGGGCCCTTCTGCTTTTTTGCGCGGCGGCAGCTTGGGCCCCCCGACACATCGAGCCGAAGGTGCGCCTCATTGTGCTTGCCGAGCCCCTGCGTGTCTGGCCTTCCAGGCAGAACAAGAGAATACCAAATACAAGGCATGGGGAAAAGGGGTCCCATGGACCCTCCCCTTCGGTCGGGCATGTCCTCCTACAGGCGGTTTTTAACATACTAACGAACTAAACAAGTCAACAATTAGTAGGAAAGTCGCCCCCCTTTACTTATTATTTTTGAATATTCCTCTCTTCCTGCAGAGGGACACGCCCGTCTTAATCCTCCCCCCTCTTCCCCCCTCTCCCCCCCACCCGAAGGCGCCCCCTCCCCGCCCGCCCGAGCGCGGTGGTGGAACATCGCGCGGCAGCGCCACTGGCTAGGACCAATACGGCGCGACCGGGGGCACGGTGATGAAGGCGGCGGAAAACCTTGCGATGAGAGGAGGAGGAGGCGGAGGAGGAGGAGGAGGCGGAGGAGGAGGAGAAAAAGGAGAAAGAGGAGGAGGAGGCGGAGGAGGAGGACGAGGAGGAGAAGGAGGAGGAGGAGGAGGAGGAGGAGGAGGAGGGGGAGGGAGAGGAAGAGGAGGGGGAGGAGGAGGAGGAGGAGGAAGAAGAGATCCGGGCGCTGCCGCTCTTTCTCTCTGGGGGTGGCCACACCGCGTGGTGAGTCCGTGGGGGATGCGGTGGTCACCGCGCGGTCTTGGGTCGTTCGGGCCGTTCTCCGAAGACGCGACGCCTCGGGCGACCAGGGCCTCTGGGGTCCCAACACCGTGCGGTGAAGCACCGCGCCGTGAGGTCTCTTCGGATGTCCAAGTCACCGCGCGGTCGGTCACCACACGGAATTTCGGGACCCCCGATGTCACACGAGGCCTTCCGCCCGGCTCCGGATCGGGCTCGAAAACTGCCGCAGAAAGATGGGGTCTGTAGGGCTCGAGTCGTGGTTTATGGAGATGATGTGCTACAAAGTCTCGCAACGTGGGATCTCATGGAACCTGCACTCTGGGCCCGGCTCGCTGCAGTACACCTGGTGCCTCTTGTACAGGTCCGCGTAAGAGTCGCAGTCCCTGCATGTTCTCATTGCCTGGTGCTCGGAGTTGTCGGCGAC